CCATGGCCGCTGAGCCTGCGCGTCCGGAGCCTGTGCTCCGCAACGGGAGAGGCCACAACAGTGAGACGCCCGCGTACCACAAAAAAAAAAAAAAAAAAAGTTAAAAGTAGATCCTGGGAATTTAAGTTAATTAATTAATTAAATAAAATACACCTCTTGGGACTTTAATTCTATGATGTGGTGAGGAGCATAAATTATCAATTTTAATTTACTCAAATTAAACAACACAAAAAATCTTGTAATTAGACTAAACATCCTTAGTGGAATACCCTAAGAATGTTAAAAAAAAAAAAAAGTTTAAAAGTATAAAGTTTTTAAAATTTCAAAGCTTAAAAATTTAAAGAATTTTTTTAAAAGTAAGCTTCTTTTAGTATTTATAGTAATATTATTTAATATTATTGTTATTCTGAAGCTACTATATCGTAGGATAAACAATTCTGTTACTGTGCTTAGGAATGATATTTTTTTCACATAAGTAAAACGTCATACAAATATAAAATCTAACAAATTAAAATTAAAATCTGTAATCCTAAATTTGAACAAAAACTATCAATATAAATTTGTAATGTAATTTTCCTTAAAAAAATTTCCAAGCTCTTTCAATAGAAAAGGCCTAGAAACAATGACCAACTCAGTAGCAACTAGAGTACTGACAAAGCTCAACCACCTGGCAAACAAGACAGTTAAGAGTCCAACTCCAGGGACTTCCCTGGTGGTCCAGTGGTAAAGGATCCACTTTCCAATGCAGGGGACTGGAACTGCAGCTTCAATCCCTGGTCTGGGAAGATTCCACATGCCACTGAGCAACTAAGCCCGCACGCCACAACCACTGAGCCTGCTCACCTCAACTAGAGAGCCCATGTGCCGCAAACTACAGAGCCCATGAGCTCTGGAGCCTGCGCGCCACAACTAGAGAGAGAAAACCCACATGCCACAACTAGAGAGAAGCCCGCACACCTCAATGAAGAGCCCATGTGCCGCAACGAAAGATCCTGCGTGCCGCAACTAATACCCGATGCAGCCAAAAATAATAAATATAAACAAATGAGAAAATAGTATTTTAAAAAAAGAGTCCAACTCTATTATCACAGAACAAAGCAATGAAAGGTGGATTTGGAGCTAAAAGTCAATAAACGGATAATTGGCCCAAGTATCAATAAGACAGTAGAGTAAAACCCATCTAATATATTTATGAGATCAGAGTGATAATTTTCTCTTTTTTCAATTGAAGTATAGTTGATGTACAATAGTATATAAGTTGTAGGTGTACAATATAGTGATTCACAATTTTTAAATGTTATACTCCATTTATAGTTATTATAAAATATTGGCTATATTCCCCATGTTGTACAATATACCCTTGTAGCTTATTTTACACATAATAGTTTGTACCTCTTAATCCCCTAACCTCATAATCCCTCTCCCACCTTCCCTCTCCCCACTGGTAACCACTAGTTTGTTCGTTATATCTGTGAGTCTATTTCTTTCCTGCTATATTCACTAGTTTGTATTTTTTAGATTCCACATATAAGTGAGATCATAGGGTATCTGTCTTTCTCTGTCTGATTTATTTCACTTAGTATAATGTCCTTCAAGTCCATCCATGTTGCTGAAAATGGCAAAATTTTGTTCCTTTTTTATGGCTGAGTAGTATTCCATTGTATATCTATATACACCACATCTTCTTTATCCATTCATCTGTTGATACACACTTAGGTTGTTTCCATACTTTGGCAATTGTAAATAATGCTGCTATGAACATTGGGGTACATGTGTCTTTATTTTAAATTAGTGTTTTGTTTTTTTAGATATATACCCAGGAATGGAATTGCCAGGTCATATGGTGGTTCTACTTTTAGTTTTTTGAGAAACCTCCATACTGCTTTCCACAGTGGCTCCACCAATTTACATTCCCACTGACAACGTAGGAGGGTTCCCTTTCTCCACACCCTTGCCAACATTTGTTATTTGTGTTCTTTTGGATGACAGCCATCCTGACAGGTGTGAGGTGGTATTTCATTGTGGTTTTTTTTTTTTTTTTTGGCGGTACACGGGCCTCTCACCGCTGTGGCCTCTTCCGTAGCGGAGCACAGGCTCCGGACGCGCAGGCTCAGCAGCCATGGCTCACGGGCCCAGCCACTCTGCAGCATGTGGGATCTTCCCGGACCAGGGCACGAACCCGTGTCCCCTGCATTGGCAGGCGGACTCTCAACCACTGAGCCACCAGGGAAGCCCTCATTGTGGTTTTGATTTACATTTCCTTGATTAGCAATGCTGAGCATCTTTTCATGTGCCTGTTGGCCACCTGCATGTCCTCTTAGGAAAAATGTCTATTCAGTTTTTCAGCCCTTTTTAAAATCAGGTCGTTTGCTTTTTTGATGGTCCATTGTATGAGCTGTTTATATATGTTGGATATTAACCCTTTATTGGTCATATCATTTGCAAACAATTTCTCCCATTCAGTAGGTTGTCATTTCCTTTTGTCGATGGTTTCCTTTGCCATGCAAAATCTTTTATGTTTAATTAGGTCCCATTTGTTTATTTTTGCTTTTATTTCCTTTGCTTTAGGAGAAAGATGCAAAAAAACATTCCTGTGATTTATGTCACAGAGTGTTATGCCCAAGTCTTTCTCTAGGAGTTTTATGGCTTCTGGTCTTACATTTAGGTCTTTAATCCATTTTGAGTTTATTTTGTATATGATGTAGAGAATGTTCTAATTTCATTATTGCACATGTAGCTGTCCAGCTTTCCAAGCACCATTTATTGAAGAGACTGCCTTTTCTCCACTGTACATTCTTGCCTCCTTTGTTGTAGACTAATTGACCAGAGATGTGTGGGTTTATTTCTGGGCTTTCTATCCTGTTCTATTGATCTGTATGTATGCTTTTGTGCCAGTACCATACTGCTTTGATTACTGTAGCTTTGTAGTATCGTCTTAAGTCTGGGATCCTGACTCCTCCAGCTCTGCTTTTCTTTCTCAAGATTGCTTTGGCTATTCCGGGTCTTTTGTGTTTCCATGCAAATTTTTAAATTATTTGTTCTAGTTCTGTGACAAATGCCATTGATATTCTGATAGATATTGCATTGAATCTGTTGATTGCCTTGGGCAGTATGGTCATTTTAATAATATTAATTCTTCCAATCCAAGAAAATGGTATATATCTCCATCTGTTTGTGTTGTCTTCAATTTCTTTCATCAGTGACTTATAGTTTTCCAAGTACAGGTCTTTCACCTCCTTAGGTAGGTTTATTCCTAGGTATTTTATTCTTTTTGATGGGGTTGTAATTGGGATTGTTTCCTTAATTTCTCCTTCTGATAGTTCATTGCTACTGTATGGAAATGCAACCGATTTCTGTATATTAATTTCATATCCTGCAACTTTACCAAATTTTTTGATGAGCTCTAATAGTTTTGATCACAGTGATAATTTTAAAATAAAACAAAAAAACCCGAAAAACCTCCTCATTGGTCAGCAAAGAAAGATGTAGAGAACCAGCTCATTACTTTGAAAACTAGTAAACAAAGTGAAAGAATTAAGCATTTATTCCCTTTCCTATAAGAACTCTATCTCAGGAAAAACAAATAGTCAATTAAGGGAAATCCTCTTTATGGAAGTAATCTACTAAATTAAGAAGGAATTATGAAAATAGAATTATCACTATTTTGAAGCCCCTTGTGAAATAAACCTTCAAGCAATGATTATCAAAGAGAGACACCAAAGAGAGACAATCGAGCATTATGTGCCTCCTGGTATAAGTATTCAACACAACATATGACATATTCTTGCACAAATATGAGCCTCAATCTGATCAAGCCTCTGTATCAGAATCACAGTTAAAGAAAATTCAGGACCAGAAAATGGTTGGATGAAACCATGGGATGCAATCAGCAAAGTCCAGAATGTAAGAAATTCTACAGGACAAACAATCTAGTTTCTACAACAATAAAGTTCAAGGGAAAAAAAACACAACAGTATGAACCTATACACTAAAAGAGACATATCAACCTACTGCAAAGTTTGGAGTTTATATGGATTCTGATTTTTTTTTAAGTGATGAATGAGAAAATTTGAACACCAATTAGATATTTTATATTAAGGAATTACTGTTAATTTTAGATGTGATAATGGTACTGGCTTATTTATGTGTAAAATAGGTAGTCCTTATCTTATCAAAGATACATACAGAAATATTTAGGAATGAAAAAATATGAATAATATGATTGGGAGTTTGTTTCAAAATAATCCAAGTGGGAGGTAAAGAGAATGAGTGGAGTCAAGATGAAATAAAATCGGCTATGAGATGATAAAGCAGCTAATGGGTAGGTAATGGGTACATGGGGTTTCATTATACAATTTGCTTTATTTTTGTATATGTCTTAAGTTTTCCAAATTAAAAGTTTTTCTTTAACCTGCCTTCAGGAAAAACTATAATAAAATCAGTTACACTTGCCTGAAAATGTCAGATTCAATTTTATGAATCTCCCAAATGTACTTACACTTTCACACAAAGATAAGGCCTTAAAGCAAAAGAATGATGCTAGTGGTATATTTTAAGGAATCAGCAAGTGAGTGAAAATTTTTCCTTATTTTGCAAAGAGAAGCATTCCCAGCAATCTCAAAGTCAAAAGAGACACATAAAGAAACCAACCAATTCAGCCTACTTTTAAGTAAGCATTTGGGTTTGAGCATGAGGTGGTGTTATAATAGACAACTCCTGCATCACCTTTGTGATTACCTGCCTATTCACCAAGAGTAAGGTGGGCTTCCAACTATGATCATTTACTACATGGCTGTCTTACCAAATTTACAATCTGTATTTTTAAGTCTCTAAAATGTTTTGAAGTTCACCAAAGAATAAATAAAAGTTGAGTTTTAAAACTCTAGTCTTTTACCAGATATCTAAATGTTTTCCACAAATAAAAAAGAAGCAAACTTTAAAAACAATTTAGAACTGTTTTAATATTATTCAGACACTTACACAAAAGCAGATTTACATACCTTGCCTGGACTGTGAAGGTGCTACAGGAACTTCTTGGTTTGGCTCAAAAGGAAGTTCAGGTGTTAGGTTTTCAAACTGCTCTTTACTAATGAGATTTAGCTTCTTAAAGTTCTCAACTTCTTGCTGAAGTAGAATGGAGGAATCTAATTACTAAACTGGCTAATAGAGTAACCAACAGACAATAATTGATACTAATCTCAAAAAATGAGTTTTAAAAACAGGAATTGATTGCAACCGAATAGAAAAGATGTTCTAATAAAGAATCTAGCATTATACTTAATAATAATTAATATTCAGAGTTTAAAAGAGGCATCAAGAATCCTAAAATATTATGACTATTTTATAATTAAAATACATTATAAGAACATACATTCTTATCATTAACTATTTGTTGAGCATTTACACACAAGACCAGTAGAGTATTATAGAGGTTACAGAGTAATCCAAATTCATGTTCCCTACGCTTAAGGAATTTACAAGTTAGATGGAAAGAAAGAAATGCACACATAAAAATAATATTAGACAGTGTATGAAAAGTGGATAGTATTTGGTATAAGAGTTGAGATCATAAGGGAGGCATCACAGAAGAGATGGGACAAAGCAGCTCCTTAGAATGAGAATTTAGAGAAAGGGAAAAGCATCCTAAATTAGGTACTGTGAGCAAAGATGAGAAGCTTGGAATAAGCAATCATTTATTAGAAGATAATTCAGTAAATGACAAAATTTGTTTAGAACCAGTGGTCTGGTAAGGAAGCTGGAGAAAGCTAATAGATCTTTAACACTAGTCCAAGAAGTTTCTGCCTCTTTTTCTAATAGTGGGAAACATGTGATGAAACATAAACCTAGATGGCTCTGAAGGTTCATTTCCAAACCCCTTTTATAAGCTTAGTAGCAAGGATACTGCATAGGTCTAAGCTGTTGGCTCAAAGGAAAAATGGGCCTATCCCTGCCCCTAGGGCCCCTTTCTAATTTTTGTTACATAATCACATAGATGTTCCCTGCCCTGACCTACATATATGTAAAACATTACAGAGGTGGAGGCCATTCTCTACTGGAAGGTCATCGGGCCATAATGCATGAAGACTATCGAAGCCTGGCTGAAGCTGTGGGGAAAAAAAAAAAAAGAGTTTGAGGGACTACTTGCATTCTATTACTTCTGGTAAGTTTTCCCCAATAAACTCTGTATCACATCTACACTACTCCTCAGTGCTAATTGGTCCATGACCCTTTACAGAGTTAACATCTAAACAGAGTGTAAGGAGGTAAAAGACATGACAAAAGTATCTGTCTGATGAGCCAAATTAAACATCATCATTACAAAATAGTTGTGGCATCTTGCTCTTAACAGCTATCCAAACAATCTTTTCCTTCTGTCTTCAAACATGAATGTCACTTGACAGCTCACACCATTTATTAGATCCAGTTAGCCTTTTAAACTAGGATCTATCTTCTTTTCATGAAAATGCCTTAAATGGTTACTTCCCCTATACCAAAATTGCTTTCCCAAAAGTCTTCAATAAGCTCTTCAAGCTAATTGAGTCATTACTCTTCACTGTCCCTTATCTTGCTACAGAGCTTGCTATTAGCAACTCCCACTTCAATGAACATTTATCGTATGTTTATCATATACCAAAAATGAATAAACACAGTTCTATTCTGATGGGAACACAGATACGTTTCTGTTTTGTTTTTAACTTTTAAAACTAAGTACGGTATAACACACTGCCGTTTACATATATATGTATACACACACACTAGAGAAGGGCATAAATCATAGGTATATATCTCAATAAGTCCAAAGTGAACAGACCTGTGGAACCACAATTCGAGTAAAGATGATATAACTAGCACACTAGAAGTACCCTTCATGCCCCTTCCTATCACTGCCCTGTCTTTCTTCCTAAAGACAGCCAATACTCAGACTTTAATTCTTTATTCATTTTTCCTGTTTTTGAATTTTATAAAAAAGTAATCATAATGTATGGTTTCCTTAACACAAAATTATCTTTATGAGATTCATCTATAGTTTGTGGCTCTACAGCAGAGGTCAACAAACTACAGCCCCTAAAGGCCAAATTTTGTCTTTGTAAATAGTTTCATTGGAACACAACCGCATCCATTTGTTTACATATTGCACACGGCTGCTCCAATGCTACAACTGCAGGGTTGAGTAGTTGCCATAGTCAACGTATGACATACAAAGCCTAAAATATTTACTACATAGCTCTTTACAGAAAAAGTTTGTCCATCCCTGCTCTACGGTACTCTATTTTATGATCAAACCACAATTTTAAAAAATCCATTCCAGGGACTTCCCTGGTGGCACAGTGGTTAAGAATCTGCCTGCCAATGCAGGGGACACAGGTTTGAGCCCTGGTCTGGGAAGATCCCACATGCCACGGAGCAACTAAGCCCGTGCACCACAACTACTGAGCCTGCGCTCTAGAGCCCATGAGCCACAACTACTGAGCCCACGTGCCACAGCTACTGAAGCCTGCATGCCTAGAGCCCGTGTTCCGCAACAAGAAAAGCCACCGCAATGAGAAGCCTGCACACAACGAAGAGCAGCCCCCGCTCACCGCAACTAGAGAAAGCACACGTGCAGCAACGAAGACCCAACGCAGTCAAAAATAAAAATTAATTAATTTTTTAAAAAAAAGATAAATACAAAAATCCATTCTACTGTTGATGAGCATCAGGTCCCTTCCAGACTATAGCTGCTATAAATAATGTTGCTATAAATATGTTTTTACAGAACACTTATTTGGTGAACATGTTTTTTTACCTTTTTGTAAACTGTAGTTGATATACAATATTATATGTCACAGGTATACAATACAGTAATGCACAATTTTTAAAGTTTATACTCCATTTATAGTTACTATAAAATATTGGCTATATTCCCTGGATATGTACAACATATCCCCTTGTAGCTTATCCTATACCTAATAGTTTGTACTTCTTACTACCCCACTCCTATATTGCCCCTCCCCGCTTCCCTCTCCCTACTGGTAACCACTAGTTTGTTCTCTATATCTGTGAGTCTGTTTCTTTTTTGTTATATTCACTACTTTGTTGTATTTTTTAGATTCCACATATAAATGAGATCATACAGTATTTTGTCTTTCTCTGACTTACTCACTTAGCATAATGTCCTCCAAGTCCATCCACTTTACTGCAAACGGCAAAATTTTGTTCTTTTTTATGGCTGAGTAGTGTTCCATTGTGTGTGTGTGTGTGTGTGTATACCACATCTTCTTTATCCATTCATCTTTTGATGCACACTTAGGTTGCTTCCATATTTTGGCAATTGTACATAATGCTGCTATGAACATCGGGTGCAAGTGTCTTTTTAAATTAGTGTTTTTTGTTTTTTTCAGGTATATATCCAGGACTGGAAATTCCAGGTCACATGGTAGTTCTACTTTTAGTTTTTTGAGAAACCTCCATACTATTTACCACAGTGGCTCCACCAATTTACATTCCCACCAACAGTGTAGGAGGGTTCCCTTTTCTCCAAACCCTTGCCAACATTTGTTATTGTGTTCTTTTAGATGAGAGCCATCCTGACAGGTGTGAGGTGATATTTCATTGTGGTTTTCATTTACACTTCCCTGATGATTAGTGATGCTGAGCATCTTTTCATGTGCCTGTTAACCACCTGCATGTCCTCTTAGGAAAAATGCTTATTCAGTTCTTTGGCCCATTTTTTAATCGGGTTTCTTTTTTTTTTTTTTTTTGATGTTAAGTTGTATGAGTTGTTTATATATGTTGGATATTAACCCCTTATTGGTCATACCATTTGCAAATAATTTCTCCCATTCAGTAGGTTGTCATCTCCTTTTGTCGATGGTTTCCTTTGCCATGCAAAATCTTTTAAGTTTAATTAGGTCCCATTTATTTATTCTTGTTTTTATTTCCCTTACTTTAGGAGATGAATCCCCCAAAAATTCCTGTGATTTATGACAACATATATTTTTATTGAGTATTTACTAGGAGTGGAATTGCTGAATCAGGTGGTGCACTTCAACTTTAGTAGAAAATGCAAATATGTTTTCAGAGTAGTTGTACCTATTTACATTCCCATTATCAGTATATCAAAGTTCCTATTGCTCTACATCCTCATCAACACTTGGTATTGTCAGTTTTTAAAAATTTAGTCTTTTTGAAAAGGACCAAACTATGGATATAAACTACATTTTGGATGGACCTCAAGGGCATTATGATTTTAAAAAAATATCAATCTCAAACGGTAACATGCTGTATGATTCCATTTATATAACATTCTCAAAATGACAACATTATAGAGATGGAGAACAGATTAATGGCTACCAGGGATTAGGAATAGCAGAGGGGAGGGAGATGGGTGTAAGTTTAATAGCACAAAGAAGATCTTTGTGGTGATAAAATAATTCAGTGCCTTGACTTTTATAGTAGTTATGTGAATCTACATGTGATAAAATGATAGAGAAGTATACACACACATTTGTGATAATAAACATCAATTTTCTGGTTTTAATATTGTGGTTTAATTATCTAAGCTATCAGATTTAATTAATTTAATTATCTAAGATAACCTTTCAAGGTTATCTGGGTGAAGCATACACTGGACCTCTCTGCACTATTTTTCCAGCTTCCTATGAATCTATAATTATCTCAAAAATTTGAAAAATTTAAATATGTAGCCACTCTGGTAGATGTGTTATCTCATTGTGGTTTTAATTTGTATTTCTCTGATTATTAATAATGATGAAAACCTTTAGTATATTTTATTTGGATAATTTTTTTGTGTCATATGACTACCCAATTCTATTGCTCATTTTCCTATACAGTTGTCTTTCTCATTGATTTGTATGAGTTCTTTACAAAATGTTGTAAATGTCTTTTTTCTACTCTGTACCTTACCTTTTCACTCTTTTATGGTATCTTCTGTTGAAAAGTTCTTTTTAATGTAGTACATTTTATCAATCATTTGCTTCATTGTGTTATTTCCTGTTTAGTAAATCTTTCTGTACTAAAAGATCATGGAAACAGTAATCTTTTATGAGTTTTATTATTTTGACTTTCACATTTAAAACTACAATATATCTAGAATTGATTTTTCTGTGTATGGTATAAGGGTT